CCCCCCCTGCGGGCGCCCATGGCGGCGGTCACTTTTGTTTTGCAGACATGTGTTTGCTATAGATCTGAATTGATAGTGAGTGGACGCACGGGTCACATGATCGCATTCTGTCACTGGTTCAAATCAAGCATAAGGCCCACGCTCGTCCTTTTGTCCGTTATCCGGCCCGCTGTGAACAAAGTTTGATGACCCCTGGTCTAGGATACTATAGTATAAATAATAATCAGTAACTAAAAATAATCGATAAGAATTGTTCTATAGCATTGCTCTCTAGCACACCCAGCCCATCTATAGCACAATGTACATTGCTCTCTAGCACGCCCAACACATATATAACACAATGTAACATTGCTCTCTAGCACGCCCAACCCATATATAACACAATGTAACATTGCTCTCTAGCACGCCCAACCCATATATAACACAATGTAACATTGCTCTCTAGCACGCCCAACCCATATAAAACACAATGTAACATTGCTCTCTAGCACGCCCAGCCCATCTATAACACAATGTAACATTGCTCTCTAGCACGCCAAGCCCATCTATAGCACAATGTAACATTGCTCTCTAGCACGCCCAGCCCATCTATAACACAATGTAACATTGCTCTCTAGCACGCCCAGCCCATCTATAACACAATGTAACATTGCTCTCTAGCACGCCCAGCCCATCTATAACACAATGTAACATTGCTCTCTAGCACGCCCAACCCATATATAACACAATGTAACATTGCTCTCTAGGACGCCCAGCCCATCTATAACACAATGTAACATTGCTCTCTAGCACGCCCAACCCATATATAACACAATGTAACATTGCTCTCTAGCACGCCCAACCCATATATAACACAATGTAACATTGCTCTCTAGCACGCCCAGCCCATCTATAACACAATGTAACATTGCTCTCTAGGACGCCCAGCCCATATATAACACAATGTAACAACATGATAATCCACCCCTAATCAACCAGAGATAAAGTGCATTGAAAAGCACAACGAGAAGGCGGCATCATCTTTTATTATTGTCAGATTCAAAATATGCTTTCAGCATGAAACAGTGGACGGTCGTCTGTTGTGTGTTTGTTTGTGTGTGCGCGCGTGTGTGTGTGTCTTTATCAGACATCTGTCATTCATCAGAGACAATAATGTTAATAAGTAGATTGCATCTACTCTGTATGTATGTATGTGCGGCCCTCAATATCATATATTTTCCCCAAGTACTTCGTTCGATGAAATCTCGGGAGACGAAATGAAAGTTTGAACCAAAAAAAAATTTAAAAAATAATAATAATGATAGTAATAATTTAACTTTATTGTTTGAAATTTATGTTTTCATTAATGCGATTTTGATTTTTTTTTCCCTCTTCAGAAAGGAACCGAGAACACTTAAAGCTCGTATAGGATTAAAACTAGAGACTGGCGGGAGTGTGTGCGGTAGTGTGTGTGGTAGTGTGTGGGCCCTTGTCTGACAAATCCATAACTCACCATTTCAAACACGATTTTTCTCTTACCATTGTGTTTTCATTTTTTTTAAAAACTTTTGTTTCTCTATTCTTTTTTTGTTGTCCCCAACTAAAACCGTTACCCTCGTCCCTGAATGCCCCCCATCAAAAACATTTCTAATGAACATTTTTATATGCCCCTGCCATCTCTCCTGGCACTCACGGGCAGTCCATTGTCTGGCCAGGTAAAACACAGACTTCCCCGCTGTCCATTGTCTGGCCAGGTAAAACACAAACTGCAACACTTCCCCTGGCCGTGATGGCAGCGTTTTAAATATTTGATCAACCCAACCCATCAGCGCCCCACCGGGTGCCGCGGACACAAGCTGGACGCATGCGCAGTGCGGGGCGCCGTGATGCGGAACTGGTCCCCGCTGCGCTCATCGGGGGCGTCTACATTATTGATACTACCTATTTTACAACGATTCCAGACACTGATAGGATCATCAGCCCCCCCCCCCCAACTCACCTCGGAAAAAAAACAAACAAGAGGAGAAATGGAGGGTGGGGGTGGGTGATCGAGTTTTATGTTTGATTTTCTACTTTTGTAGCTTCCTGGAGATGGCTTTTAGGTTTGGCAGTGTCCTTCTGGCAGTGGCAGACACATTTATACAACAGGGTAGCAGACACATTTATACGACGTGGTAGTAGTAGCAGACACATTGATTTGACATGATGGCAGTAGCAGACACATTGATACGACATGGTGGCAGTAGCTGACACATTTATATCCTATTTTATATATATTATATATATATATATATATATATATATATATATATATATATATATATATATATATGAACCATGATCTTAAAAAAACTATAACATCCTAAAAGAACTATAGCATCCCAAAAGAACTATCATCCTTAAAGAACTATAGTATCCAAAAATAACTATCACGATAAAGGAACTATAGCATCATAAAAGAACTATCATCCTAAAATAACTGTAACATCCGTAAAGAACAACAGCATCCTAAAATAACTATAACATTTTATATAACTATAACATCCTAAAAGAACTACCTGCTGCAAAACATTGACATTCCTACAGAAAGTCCTACAGAAAGTCCTACACAGACATTTCTACATACATTCCTACAGAAAATCCTACATACAGTCCTACAGAAAGTCCTACGGAAAGTCTTACGGAAAGTCCTACAGACATTCCTACAGACATTCCTACAAGCAGTCCTACAGACAGTCCTACAGACAGTCCTACAGAAAGTCCTACACCATACCCGTGGCTCTTTCCTGATTAATTTGCAGCCATTTTCCTAATCAGCACTATTGATATAAAACGTGTGGAGTTTGGGGAGAGGGCAGTTTCGAAAAGGAAGCAGGACACACCAGAAGCAAACTATGTACAAGGGGTAGGTTGGAACACCAGCACACCCGACCTTATGAAAGCTGGGGACTAGCATCAAAAAGAGCTTGAGGACCCGTGGCACACGAGACCTTAAAAAGCTTGGGACTATCACCAACATGCTTGAGAGCCTTTGGCTGACGAAACCTTAAGAAAGCTTGGGACTAGCTTCAACATGCTTGAGAACCACTGGCAGACGAGAAATTAAGAAACCTGAGGACTAGCACCAACATGCTTGAGAACCCCCTGGTCTAAGACAAGAAATGACTGTACTCCAAAGGTGGGGGCCCAAGTGTCTTCAACCCCCCCCCCCCCCCCCCCCCCCCCCCC